GAAAGATAAATATATTAATAATTCACCACCAAAATTTCAGATCAATTCACCGCACCGTTTTTGAGTAATTAATTTTCGATATTGCATCTCTCTATACCTCTATGTGTAAAAGATGCAATTTTGAAAATTAATTACTCAAAAACGGTGCGGTGAATTAATCTGAAATTTTGGTGGTGAATTATTAATATATTTATCTTTCAATAGAAAAAATTTCATAAGTTTCTTGAAATATACCTTAATGTGGCGCTTCGTGATGGAAACTGCAAAATGTACAGTTTCAGATTGTAATTATTACAGATTTTATAAGAATTACATTGTATAATGTAATATTTAGATTGAAAGCTCTGAAAAATTAATATTCAAAGTTTGAATTTAGAAAAATATTATTTCGAACTGTAATTTTTTTAGTTATTAAATACGACGGGACACTTATTACTATTTACAATGTTATTTTTCGAGTTTTTTTTTTTCCGTAAAGGTATTTCAGTTTTAGAAACTGATATTCACCTAGAAAAAATAAACTTCTTGCGCCAAGAAAATTTTAAGGAAGACTAAAATTATTTTGGAGAAAGAAGAAATTTTCCTGAGCTAAAAAAATTTACATTCCAGTCAAGAATTTTTTTTTAGTGAATTTAAGGAGATCTACGCAAAGTAGTCGAATTTTTAAAACTGTTATTAATTTTAAATCTGTTATTAATTAATTTTAAAATACATAACAAAAGTATTTCTACGTATTATTTTTTTATAGATATTCTTTACACTGTGAGGGTACTTGGATCTCTTTAAAAAAAAAATATATACGTTTTTATCATATACAGAAACATAAAAAAATTTTGATATCTATTTTATTAGAAAATAAAGAGTTATTTCGTGAATTAAGAAAGTCCAAAAGTTCAAAACAAGAGTAAAATCTTGAATAAATCACATAACTTTTTTTTCCATAGACAATTACGCTGATTCTATAGCTTTCAACTGGTTCATTGGGCAGAAAATGAACTTAACCTACATTATATCCTACTTCCAAAGTTTATAACTTCTCTAACCCCAGAAACTACGCACTAGTGAGTATCAATAAAAAAGTTGTAAACAAACAGTTCATTAAATATTATTTATTTACAAGAAAATATAACAAATTTATACAAATATTTGCTTAAATCAAAAATCAATAGCAATAAATCAACTACCGTCGACATCAACGAAGAAGAACTGGCTTTTGTCGATAGCATTTACTGCAGGAAAGGTCTCACACTTAGGAACGCAGACAGTTGAAGGGTCTTCCATCGATCGAGTGGTTGCTGAGACATCTGGTTGAGGCGTCGGTAAGTTCATTGGCATTCTTGCGCTTCCTACCGCAAAATTATCATGAGCTTTGCTTCCGGAACTACAATTATTACAAAAAGTTAGGTTATTTTGTAGATTTACAATCGGAAGTTTAACTCTTGAGGATGAACCAGTTAAAATTTCACTAACTCTCTTCTGGTCAATCTGCACTAAAAGCACTTTTTTAACCGGCTGGACATTAAATAAAGAATAATTAAGATTCCGCTTATTAGAGATATTTTTTTCGTACACTATCTCACAAGAATCTTCATCAGCTTCTTTACCGTAACTGTAAACAGGCTGAATTTTTGTGTTTTTATCCAATTTCAATATTTTCAACGCAAACACTTTTTTATCAAAACTAACAGCCGCATTTTGGTGAACTTCACCAATATTGTCTTTACTATTATCAACAATCTGGACATTTGAAACTTGTTGACTATCAACTTCAACTTCTCCAGTGCCAGCAACTTCAAAATTCAACGAAACATCATTTAGCAAACTTTGTTTGTTAATAGTTTTATCAGCTTCAAACTCCCCATAGAATTTCAGTTCTGTCTTCGGTCGCTTTGTTGGAGGTTCTAAAACTATAACCTCACCCTTTGAAGTATCACTCAATCGATTAGCACAATTGAAAGTTTGAAGTTGATCTTTACACAAAACTCGACAAGTCTCCTGGTATTCTTCTGAAGTTTTCACTTGGCTTGCTATTTCCGCAGCTTTTAAAGGTACTTGTTGTCCTTGAACCTGATCTTTGCCATTGTTAACTTCCAAAGGAATATTTTCCGATGAAATATTTAATGTAACATTAGCTTTAGGAGTTTCCACTAAATTTTCTCTATTATTATATAAAACAAGCTCATCAATTTCAATAGGTTCTTTTTTTATAATTCTATCTTGATTTAACGAAAAATTATTAAATTTACTATCAGAAATTTTTACATTTTTTAAAAATGCACTTTCCGCTAGTGGCGCCCTCTCTTGACTACAACTATGTACTACAATTGGCTCCCGAGTTTTATTATCCCGATCTTCATCAATATCTAATTCATATTTTATTAAAGACTTAACTGGACTCGAAATACAGTCCGCCATATTAAATTTAACAATTTGTAAAAAATTATTTAATTGTCTAATTATTTATATTATTTAATATAATTATTTAATTATTTACTTATACACTAGCACTTTTACGGTTATGTTTTCTTTTTATGTGATTACACACTTTTTATCTAAAAAAAAAAAAAAAAAAAAAAAAAAAAAAGGGATCCTTTAATAAACTATAAAAAATTAGATCATCTTTTGGAAAATAAATTATACGTACCATAATTTATAATTGGTTTAATAATTCTTGTTTAATACATAAATAAATCAGCACATGCGAGACACTGCGCATAATCACTTATTATTTTACTGAGGTTAAAACATGGTAGATAGAAGTAAACAGAATATAATATACGTTCTCTCATTCCTTTCACACAATACTTGGCGCATGCGCAGTTTAGCTAGAAATATTTCACTCGGAGATATTCGACTTACTTCGGGCACTTCTTCGGGGACTTTTTTATCTACTAAAGGATTGATATAGGAGTATCTAAGTAGGGATATGAGAACAGTAAGAGGAAGGCATTTTTGCGCGATGTTAGCAGAATAAATCTAGATCTTAAATCGAATAAGAGTAAATGCTTAACAAATCCGTTTTAGGATAAAGAGTGCCACCTTTTGAGGATCTTTAGCAATAATCAATGAAAAGTAATTTATTGATAATTTTAGTAAAACAACTAATAATTGAAACTGATATATAAAAAAAATGGTAGAAAGAGATCATCATGAATTTAAGTTTAACAATTGGCTAGAGAGTTTAATGTATAAAAAAAGAAACTCTTATTTTGTTTATTTTATTTAATTCTCTCAGGTGATCTATTTATTTCTTAACGTTTTGTACAGTCCATCTGGTGCTTGCGTTTTTATGGATTGAAAATACTCAATTGAGGGACAAGCAAAGAGCATTGGAGCTTTTCTTATTCTCAATTCACTAGCTTCGAGAATAGCTCGAGAAACGATGTAGTTCCATGGGGATGTTAAAGCTCATTCAACAACTTTTATTCGGTTGCGCGCCATCAGCAATTTACGATTACATCAATATATATATATATATATATATATATATATATATATAA